TCATATATTTAAAAAAATTGTGTATACTAATTTTAAATATAATTTATATATTCAAATATAGTATTTATATATATATATATATATATAATTTACTATAAATTTTAATTATAATGTATAAATTAAAATATTAATTATCAATAGTTAAAAATAATTTTGTATTATAATATAAATTACTTATCTTAAATATAAAATATAATTTATATGTTTATAGGTTCATAATTATTGATCCAGTTTTCACAACATTGGATTCGATCAAATTACTTATATTTGTACATATAATTTATTACAAAATTTAGTTATATAATAAAGATTAAATTATACTTTTAATCAATTATCTTGTTTTTTAAATTTATTTTGATCATTTAACTTTTAAAATATTCACTTTGGTCTTTTCTTTTTTAAATTTGGATCAATTTGATTCTTTCAAAATATTAATTATTTTCAATTTTAAGACACAATTTTGAATCTTTTTTAACTTATTCAAAATTTTAAATTTGTCTTATTAGATTTATTTATATGAAAATTATTAAACACAACTGAAATTTAAACAAAATAATGTCATAAACATAATGAAAGTTGCATAAAAATAAGTCCACTAAGAAATTGAAAAGTTCAAAAAATGTACTTTTATATTATTTTCTAGTTACTTGTGAGATATATTTTTAACAAGATGTTCACTATGCTTATAGCCCATTTGGATCTGAGCTTTAATTGAATTTCTTTATTTTCATATAAGTAAATTTAATGTTACAACTTTCACGTCTTGAATTAGTAAAAATTTGATTCAAAATTATATTATAAAATTAAAAATGATCATTATTTTAAAATACCAAATCAATCTAAATCTAATTGATAAGCGACTAAAATGAGCATTTTAATAAGTAAGGAATCAAAATAAATTTAAAAATAAGATAAATGACCAAAATTATAATTTAATCTATAATAAATGTTTAACTTGTGAAATGTAGGCTTAAATATTAGTTAATGAGATACTAAAATAGTATATATATAAATTATTTATGAATAAAATAATTAATTTTATCTATCAAAATTACATTGACAACAACATATGTTGAACCTAATACTTAGTGCATACTACCCTAACCCTACCACTAGGTAAATTCTAATAGTTCAATGAATAAAATAAATAAATAATAGTGTCATTTGTGGAGTCTATTAAGGTTTTGGAGGAAGAAGCCACAAAAGGAAATGATTCAAAGGATATTTAAAAATTATTTGATAATTTGTTTCATTAATTCAAATTGATGGATAATTATAAAAATATGCATATGTTGTTTGAATCTATATAACAAAGTATCATATGCTTTTTACATTTAAAAAAATTATAAATTTGATTTATACATTAAGAACTTTTAATTTAACGATTGTTGTGACAATGGCTATGGTGATGGTGGTGGAAGGGATGATGGTTGTAGTGACAACGAGAGTTGGAGTGACAATTTTATAATGATGATAGTGGAGTTATAAGATTGGTCAAGTGGTTTGGTGTAAGATATGACTTAGAGGGGAGAGGAACTTGAGGACCTAAACATTTATCTTTCTTCTTCTCATATTCTTAAGGGAAGATTCATGCTCGTAGACTCTGTTTTCTTCTTCTTTGAGACTTTGTAGCTAGGGGTGATTCAAAGCAATTTGGAGTTGAGAGTCTCGTGGTGTAGGTGCGAAGCTCGGGTTGTTAGAACTTGAAGCCCATTTATTTCTTCTTTTCTTCTTCAACCTCTGAGTAGCTCAGAGTTCTTCCTCGATTTCACTCTGCTCTGAGGTAAGGGAAGCTAGAATCTTGAGTTTTTGTTGAAATTTTGGGTTGTCGAGTGAATTAAGAACGTAATGTTGATAGAATTTGTAAAATTTGTAGTTGTGAGGATGGATTTGAAGTGGGTTGCATGTTGAAGTTCAGGTTGTGATGTTCTTGATGAAAGGTTAAAATGTTGATGATTTTTTTGAGTTGTGGTTGATGCATGTTTCTTTTCTTGTGATTTCTGAGTTGTATGTTGTTAGAATTGGGAGATTTTGGGTTTGCAAGCCTTGATTATTGCATAGGTTGAGAGGATTTGGATATTAGGTTGTTCATCTACATGTCTGAGTTTCTAGGTTTGGGACATTGAGCATGAGTTTTCACGCTTAGTGTGAGAGTTTGGAAATGTTGTTGGGAAGCTCAAGTTGTGCATCATAAATTATATAGATAAATAATCTTAAAAATAGGATGTTACAAGATCTCTTAGTTGAAATGCATGGTGGTGCATGTAATTATTGTATTGAAAATACGTGTAGCTGTGATTATTAACCTATGTTGAGAATGTTATGATGTTGAGTCGATATTATATTGTGGTAAACTGAGTTTTTATGCTTATATGTATTGTATATTGTGATGTTTTGTATTAATAGTGTTGGAGATGATATGATGATGTGGTGATGTATTAAATATGTTGATGTTATTATGTTGTGTGTGTGTATGTGTTTGTGTATATATATATGTGTGTGTGTGTGTGTTATTTATTTTTACTTTAACTTACCTTTACATGTTATTTGAACTGTGATAATCATACATGATATGGGAATAGGATAAGGATAGGACTAGAGTGTTAAGTGGAGGTCATACAGTGACGTTGGAGCCGAATGGTTTATGATGTCTACCTATTGATGGTAGATTTGTAGATAGTTTTAGTTGCTTGATTGGCAACTTAGTTGTATATTTACATTTACATGATTACTGTATGTATATTGCACATATTGGTGTAGTTGTTTCATCCTTATATGTATGTGATATAGTACATATTTTAGTATTTGTAAGTATATAATTTTAAGTTAGTTGTTTTTCGCTATTAGTAGTTGTGTCGTTTAGTGTAGGGACCATGACAAGTCGTTATATCTAGGGGAAGGACATAGGTTGAAGTGATAAAGAGTGTGTGGTTTCAAATCTCTCAACTAACATAATAACTATCAATTAACATTTGTTATGTGGTAATTTTGTTTGTTGTTTGAGTTGTTAACCTATATTTACTTCACTTAATAATTATTGAATAAAAAATTATTAATGTACAGATCAAGTCCGTAAACTTTTAAAGTAGACTTACTCTTAACATTAAGGGATGGTTATAATTTTCTAGGAATCTTAAATTGAGAATCTTTATTTTTTATGTTTCGTAGATATTTTAAAAAAATTCCTAGAGATATAGTTTCATGGGAATTGTTTTAATCTCACTTTCTCACAAAAACATTTTCACGAGGGTGGGAATCCAACTTTCTTGAATTAGAGAAAAAGTTTTAATTGTATAAAACCATAGTATCCCTTTTTAAAATATAAAATCTCTTCCTCCTTCTATTTCTTTTCATCTCTTTCTCACTCCCCCTTTTTTCTTCTCTTTCTCCACTTTTCCCTCCTTTTTTCTCTTTCTCTTTCTCTGGAAATGAGCTAGCCGGGTTGACCCGGTTTAGTGAGTTTTTAAGAGAATGGTTAAGTAGAGTTATCATAATCTGTCTCATTTTGTATTATGGAAGGACTAAAAGAGAGAAGGAAGAGAAGGAAGGGGCTATGAGGAGAAGTACTCAAATTGTCTCAAACTGCGTCAATCACAATAACGTGCAGGGAAGGAGATGAGTTCGTTCATATATGGGATTACAAGAGAGGATGGGTAGTGGGAGCAACCCCTAAATTTCTAAGATTTTCCTTTTTTTTGTTATGGTGTCTCAGTTGATTATTCAATTAGGTTGTGTATTGAATTATGAATGTATCTTATTGTATTGTTTGATAAAATTGATAATTTAAAGAATAATTGAATTCATTGAAATGTCTCTAGGGGTTAGGGTTCTTCAGAAATTTGGGTATTATTAATTGGTTTGAAAATTCATGAATCAGTGTTATATAATGTGT